GCACATGGAAAAGTAGGACAAAATGAAAGATCTATGGTTTTTGTTTTCAGTGATTTCCTGCCTATGCATTACTATTTAATGGATTACAAGGGTACGCATTTTGAATATTTGAGGATTCATTTCATAAGCAAGTGTAAAGAACATCTTTGAAGGGGAAAAAAAAACCCTTTCTTATCTGTATTGAATCAAAGCGTGTTTTTCAGATTTCACAGGAAGATTCAGTTTTTCAAAAAAAAAAAATTCAATTTTTTTCTCCATTAGGAAAATCTAAATGACAGATCCTTGGCTGCCTTCCTAGAAACTTTTTACCAATATTGTTTTCTGCTTACAAGGAAGATGAACCAGGCATCCAGCAATCCAAAACAATGTTCCAGTTCTCTTGAAATGTACCCACCCCTGCACCTTAGAAATCACCTCATGTGAAGAAAAATCATATTTTTTCAAACTTTTCATTTTGATTTGGAATGAATTAGGATCAACAAAAGTAATAGCCATAATATTAATAGGTATTTTTTGTTGTTCTTTATTAGATGTATTCCTACAACACCCAATGAAGATAAAATGAAGTACCAGAAACATCCCTGAATCTCAACAAAATGGAAATGTAAAGCTAGAAGCTTTTAACATACTGATGACATTGTATGTGATACCATTATGAAAAAAACTTTAGCAGGGTGCATGTCTCGGGGACTGCTGCCCAGCTGCAGGCACTAAGAGTGATTGCATGCCTGCCTAGGAGCACTGGGCCATCTAATGAGGGTGATTGGCTGACCCAGAGGAAGTTAAAAGCTCCCAGAGAAGGAAGGTGTAAGGGAGAGAGGGAAAGCTGCAATGTTAGAGGAGGCAGCATTGAGGCAGGGTACTTTATCAGGGGGTCTGGGAAAAGACCACAGGGTTTGGTTTAACTCTCTATTATTTTGTACTTGTTGTTTGATGCTTTATGGTTTATATTGTATCCTGTGGAGCAAGCTTGCCCAGAAAAAGTAAAGACTATGTTGTGAAAAGTGACAACCCGTCACAGCTACCATGGGCTAGCCTAAATGATGACCCTTCCTTTCCTCTTCATCTTTCCTCCCTGCATTTGCTGTCACCTTTTCAAACTACATACAAGGCTGACTTTTACTCTCAACTCAGTCAACATGAATGGATGCAGGGAAAATGAGCAGTACTCCTTGAGTTCCTAAATATGAGTGGTGGTGCCAATATAAGGCATGAGCACTCTTGTTCCTGGGGTGCCAACTCCTGGGGTTGCACAGTTTGACTCTTAATTTGTCTTGCTTACAGGGTTCACCCCTAGAATTTCCTGCCACACCTTGATCCTATAAATTAGAGGGAGGGTCCTTGGTCACATGTAGTACATGTACAGGTGATGTTTTGGGGCTTCTCCTCCCCATTCACCCCTTCCAAATGCCAACTGGGTCTTAAACTGGGATCCGCACCCCTAGCCCCTAATGTGTGGTGTCCTGGGCTATTAGCTTAATAGATGAGTAACTCAATTAACTGTGCTCAGCAGAAATGCATTAAGTCTGCTGATGAATAGATAAATCAATTTCACCAATAAATAAATAGTTTGCATGGTTTAAGATCAATTCATAGACAACCACATCATCTCAGGATGGCAATTTATTAATTCAATCATCTCATAAATAAATTAAATCTTCAATAAATAAATTGTCCATATGCCTCTAAATCAATTTGTAGCTCAATTAATCAAATCAATCATGCCTAGCAATTCATTCCACCTTCTGATCAGTGGGCAAATCAATCAATTCCTCTTATAAAGTTGGCTTATATTACTCAAAATCACTTCAGAAAGGAAATAAATGGTGTGTTCAAAGTTTGTGTGTGCCTGTGTGTCACTTATGCCTGCCACCTGTGCAGTTCCCCCCCATTCATGGCCCAATGTAGCGGCCACAGCAGACAGCCTCTCTCATATTCTGGTCCTGTCGCCCCTCTTTGGCATTAGGTTCCTTGAGGAAGAAATCCCCTCTGAGCCTTCAGCCTGTGAAGAAGGTGGCCTTTTTGTCCATTTGGGAGGTGCTCCCCAGGGTCTGGCTGCCATGAAGCCCCATGTGCTGCCTCCTTGCTTCTTCACTTTTCTCCCCTGTCAGCATGGGATGTATGGATCAACCCTGGCACACCCTCCATTTTATAGCAAGCATGAGTTTACGAAGTGGGGCTGACACTGTACTTGCCATTCTGCCATTGACATTGCTGCCACCCCTGCAGATATGCAGAAACCATGTCCTGTCCTTACTGGGCTCTCATCCATTCCCCTGATGTCACTTAGGATGCCTGCTGAGGGCCTGCCATTCTGGTACCATTTCACCAGGTTCCTCCCACTATTACACTCAACCAGAAACAGTTGTGCTTCACTTTGTTGCTAGATACATATGCAAATAGGATAAATAAGGCAGATTGGCACACTGTTTGGAGGGCCTTTCTCAGCCAAGAGGAGGCATTGCTATCCTTCTCTTGCACAAACTGAGACCTGTTTCAGAGGTTGCTCAGGGATGGGAATTCCATAACTTCTTCTCTAGGTATCCTGTTCCAATGCTTAACCAACTTCACAGTCCAAAATGTTTAACCACCTTCTTAATCTCCAATTTAAGCTCCATGTGCTGCAGTTTGAGGCCATTCCTTATAGTCTTATCCCCTGTGGCCCATCTTCATTGTTCCTCAGGTATTTAAAGATTGTTATCAAATCCCTATCCATCTCCCAGTCTTCCTTTCTCCAGACTAAATCACCCTAGTTCTTCCAGCCTTTCCTCATAAATCATGGTTCTTAAACTTATTATCATTTTTGCTACTCTCTGCTGGACATCTTCCAATCTGTACACATCTTTCTTGAAGTGTGGGGCCCAAAACTAGACACAGAACTCAAGGGACCTCACCAGTACTGAATACTGAAAGAATCACTTCTCTTGATTTGCAAGAGGTACTCAAGTTAATATACCACACTATGCTGATGCTTTTTGTTGGAAAAAAAACAAAAAGCACAGTTTGCTCATATTTATCTTATAGTCCACTCTAATCCCCAGGTCCTCTCTGCAGTACTGCAGCCTAGTCAGCCATTCCCTCATTTGTATGTGTGTGTGCAGTTATTCCATCCCAAGTGCAGGACTTTGTACTTGTCCATGTTGAATTTCACCTAGTTGATTGTAAATTGTCTTCAATCCATTCAGAATATTCTGGATCCTACCCTCTAGAATGTCTGCAAATTTGATATGCACTCACTCAATCCCATTATTCAAATCATTAATGACGATGTTAAACAACACTGAACCCAAGCCGGACAACCCCTGCAGTGTGCAATTGATATTTTTTATGTTGAAAATGTGCAAATATATGCATAACAACTGGATCTCCTAAGAATTGATAGAAAATCTACAACCATGATTACAGCACTTTCAGTAATCTTCCAATCCTTGAATCAAGCCATACTGTATGGGCCATCACCATGTAATGAGGAATGATTTAAGACAGTTCAGTCTATAGGAATCCAGTCTGCTGCTTCAGAAGATTTGTATTACATTTGCGGCTCCTCCGATAGCAAGCTGTGAGAGTGTGGTACTCAATTTACCTCAGTATCCCTGTTTTATGTATGATGAGAAAATCATTTCCTTGAAACGTTCTTGGAAAGCCAACAAGTAAAAATCAGTATGTAATAAGTGGACATTATTTTATTGGTGATATATTGTGTGCTACATAGTATGCATAAGAGTATAGCCTTACATGAGTACAACAGAAGCAAAGCTGTATTTTTATACAACATATTGTACCATTGTACACCTATTGAAATCCACTGATGTTGTGTTCATACCTTCTAAAATATAATAATAATTGTCAAGTTATGTTGATCTTCTCCAGACTGTCAACATTTTCTAAAGTATGTACATTAGTAATGGCCACTAGGCTAATATTATCTCCATACTCCAGCCTGATGTTCCTGTACTTACACATCCAAGGACTTCATACTCGTTCTTTAAAGCTACCACATTGCATAAAGGTTTTTTTTACAATGAGTGACAATTGGGAATGGGAAGTTTAACATGATGTTTTGAATGAAAATCTATTAAAAACATGAAATACACAGACACTTTATTTGCTCTCAAGGTAGAGGATTACTGTGGCCTGTTTAAAAAATGTAAGGGTACAGCATTTCCCCCCTTTTCATATGCTATTTTGTGTACAAGTAGTAATTAGATAGCTATATGGATTGGCACAATGTATATCTCTGGTGTTGCTGCATATGTATTTGCCATATTGTAACCTATGGTGCAGCAAAGTAACTATGGGTATGTGTAGATGAAACAGGGGCTCTAAATTGAAGTGGTGGGTTTTGAAAAACACCACTTCCATTTAGGGCTGATTAAACCCCCATGTCATGCACACATCCCAGTGAGTTACCTGCCTCTCCAGCAGGGAGGGGAGGGTGAGCTGGGTGAGTAGTCCCTGGGCTGCATGGGGGTAGCTGGTGCTTCCCTCTGAGGCAGCTGCGGGCTCCACCCCAGGCAGCACCGACCCATAGGCACCCAGCTTGGGTGGTCCCTGGGGGCACTCCAACCACAGAGGGAAGCACCGGGCCCCTGCACAGCTCAGGCAGGCAGGCTCCAAGGAGGGGAAGGGGGGGAGAAGATCAGGCTTGCCGCTTTTCTTGGGTGAAGCCTGCTTTCCCAGGCTGCTGTCAGGCTGCCTGCAGGGCTTCCTGCAGAGCTGGGAAGCTGCATGGAGCCCAATGCTTTGCTCTGTGGCTGTAGGGGCAGCAAACTAAAACCCTTCAAACTCCTCAAAGTAGTTTTAGTTTGCTGCGCCCCGAGTCACTTAAGGTGCATTACGCTGCTGAATTTTCTACAGAGGCTGGAATTAATGTTCGATGTGCCACCAAGGAGTGCAAACAATGACGCCATTAAAGTGGTGCAAAGGCATTTAGCCCAATTTAAAGTGTTGTGCACACACGACTCTCGTTTTGTCTATACACAGCCTACAAGGATAGCCAAGGGAACCTCAATGAGGTTTCAGGGTTAAAAAAACATATAATGTGTTTATTTGTTGCTTGGATAATGTGTAACTATTTGTTGCCAGAATGCTAATGTAAATATCTGAAATAATAACTGTGAATCCCTTGCTACAGTAAGCATTGAAAATTTGTTCTTTTCTCCTCAAAACCTTTAATATTAGCATTGATTTAAGTGGGTTTTAGTCAAGTGTTTGTTTCTTTAAAACAGAAGTCCTTACCAGAGAGAGAAAATTCTAAAATGGATGAGAGTAAGGAAGCTGGAGTTATAAATAAAATGTAACATTGTAATAAGCAATGTTTTAGAATCCATACCTTTTTATCTTGTTCCATGCAGTTGTGTTTATAGACTTTTGTATTCGCCTTTTCCATTCCAGTATAGACATCTGAAGCATTCAAAATACATTTTTTTTTAAAGTGAAATACGCCATAATTAGTTAGAATCAAGAGATGTAACTAAAAATTTGGGCACACTGGGACAGGGGTGGGAATCGGAGTAGAGGAGCATGCAAAGGGCCTGAGTACTTACCTCTTCACACAGGGGCCGGGACAGTGTTACCCACCCCTAATCG